GCAGCAATGGGATCCAGCTAGAACTTACAAGATTCTTTGGTTTTCACTGTATTTATTTAAAGACTTTGTATTTTTTAGAGAGAGAGAGAGTGAGCACAGGGTGGGGAGAGGCAGAGGGAGAGGGGGAGAGAATCCAAGCAGACTCTGCACCAAGTGTGGAGCCCAACATGGGGCTCGATCTCACGACCCTGAGGTCAAGACCTGAGCCAAAACCAAGAGTCAGGGGGCGCCTGGGTGGCTCAGTTGGTTAAGTGACTGCCTTCGGCTCGGGTCATGATCCTGGAGTCCCGGGATCGAGTCCCATGTCGGGCTCCCTGCTCAGCAGGGAGTCTGCTTCTCCCTCTGACCCTCTTCCCTCTCGTGCTCTCTATCTCTCATTCTCTCTCTCTCAAATAAATAGGTAAAATCCTTAAAAAAAAAACAAAAACCAAGAGTCAGATGCTTAACCCACTGTGCCATCCAGGTGCCCCTCATTGTATTTATTTATTTATTTTTTAAAGGTTTATTTATTTATTTGTTCATGAGAGACACAGAGAGAGAGAGAGAGAGAGAGAGAGAGGCAGAGGGAGAAGCAGGCTCCCAAGGAGCAGGGAGCCCAACACGGGACTCGATCCCAGCACCCTGGGATCACGACCTGAGCCGAAGGCAGACGCTTAACCATCTGAGCCACCCAGGCGCCCTGGATGGCTCAGTGATTTAAGGGGCCGACTTAAATTTAAGAATGTAAGTTATTTTTATTATTATTTTGTGAGGGAGGGGCAGAAGGAGAGGGAGACAGGGAATCTTAAGCAGGCTCCACGCCCAGCTGGACTTTCAACTCACTGAGCCACCCAAGTGCCCCAGGATATTTTAAGTTTTAAGGGAGAAATCCAAACTCAGAGAAAGGAAGGTGGGGAATGAAGGACTGAATGCAATTTGGGGCTCACCTCAGGGTGAAGATGCCAAGTTTGAGCCTTTGTCGAGGCTACTGGCCTCCGTGTCTCAGAGACTACCCCCCCCCCCCCCCCGCCCCAGAGCATGGGATCTGATTGTGGCTATTTGCTCGGTGATTTGATCATACACTATGTTCCATTGACTACATGGGAGACAGTGTACAATCCTGGACCGAGAAATTCCCTGAAATAAAGTGAGGTGGCCGCGGTGCACCATTTTAGTGTTTTTACCTGTGAAACTTACTGCCAGTGCTTCTCCAAACCAACCTGCACACCAAATTAAGAAGCATATAAAAGAGCTTGTAACGCATCGATGCAGCCGGGCTCTGAAAATAGCAGCCCAAGCCACAGACCAGAGAACAGACCTTTGTGAACAGAGTAAAAGAAGCTGTTGTCCTGGGCTCATCTTTTGAGCCATGGATACAACTCCCCACGATTACTGAAGTAACATCTTGAGGCAAAGATAGGAATCAATTGGGAGGAAAGTAGAATTCTTAATACATTAGCTTTTCCTTTTCCTATTAAGTTTCCAAGGCCCTAATTTGCCAGCCGGAGCCCAAGAGAGTGAACTGACATGGAGGCAGGTCATGGAGTCAATGCAAAGCATAGGCTTGACAACATTAGCAGAGGCCGGGCTCAGGATGAAGCATACAGACCAGGAGACAAATCTCAGATGATGAATGGGTTTGCAGTGCAAGAGCCCACACTCTCCACGTGTGACACCCTGACCCTGGGCACCACCTTCCCCAACATGGCTTTACCCCAGTGGTTCCAGTGCACCAGTCTCAAATTAAACTGTTACTCATTTTTCAAACACCATCAAATTTCTCTCCTCAGCCAAACTACGACTACTTAGGCAGAGCAGTTGGTTTCGGAAACTTCTCCATCAGACCTGAATCTAAACCACACAACTTCCTGAGCAGCTTCACATGTGGAGCTACCTTCCCAGACAACGCAGCACTTTCCTTGCACCAAGAATATCAAGAAATCAGACCTGAAAATACAAAGTACAAACTGGTGGTTGCCAGAGGGGAAGGACAAAATGGGTGAAGGGGACTGGGAGCTACAGGCTTCCAGCGATGGAATGAAGAAGTCACAGGGATGAAAGGCACCACACTGGGAATACAGGCCATGGGACTAGACTAGTGTGTGGTGACCAGCGTAGCTCTGCGTGCAGGGAACACAGCGTAACGTGGAGCTGTTGAATCACTACGTTGTACAACTGGAACTAACGTAACGTTGTGTGTTGACTCTATTTCAAAAAAAAAAAAAAAGATAAAAAACAAAAACAAAAACGAATACCAAGAGATACTGTTGGGAGTCAGACCCATAGTCCAGACAGTCTGTTTCTGAGGGGCACCAAAGTCCTACTTTCATCTACCCTGACCATGTTTAATGGTCCTCTGACCATTATTAGTGATTCCAAGGCTAAAAAATTATGCCCAGTCCCTTACGGAGTTTGACGTAGCTTGACAGATTAAAAAGTCAAAGAGCAAGGGAAGAGAGCGTAGCAGATGACCGAGAAGATCAAGGAGAGCAGCAGGAAGCAAGAGGCTCATTTCTTACACTTAACGCCCAAAGCTCCAGCCAGGTGGCCCGAAGATGGAGTAAAGTCTCTTCCTGTTACTTTGAAATGCCTCAGAGATGCCAAAGGAAGGTCTTTAGTGGATCATTTAATAGATCTGTTCTTCCTTCCAAAAGATACATGAAATACCATTCCAGTGACTCAATCTTTTAGTCTTAGGTAGATTCCGTATAATGAAAGAGATGGGGAGCTCCCTCCCTTCCATCCTTTACAACTCACTAATGAAGCTAAGCAAGGTGGATATTAGTGCAAGGGTGGAAAGGTGGTGTGTGTGGGGGGCTGTTGGACCCAGGGCAGGGTGAGGAGGTGTCCGTGCGAGGCAGGGAGCTGTGGCGATAGTAACTTGGAGTGGGGTGTCAGGGCCTGAGAGGTGAGGCAGCCCTCCACGTGTGAGTCGTGGCAAAAGGAGGAATGTTATATATGAGGGCACTGCACTGGCCCAATGTATTGAGGGTCGCGGGAGTTTGGGATTGTTGGAAGAAGAATCTAGAAGTACAGAGAAGAGTAACAACTAGAAGAAATCCTGTGGTGTGATGCATTGAAGGCATTAATCTGAACGGATGGTTTTCAGTATGTTTAAGTATAGAAATACAGATGCAAGTATGCGTGCGTGTACATACGTGCAAATATCCCTGAGCTCTGCCCACTGAGGGGGGTTGGGAACAGCAACACCCCAAAAGCAATGAGCACACTTAGCTTGGTTTCTAAACACCTTTCTGCATTAAAAAAACCCAGAACTCCTTGGGAGAAATTCAGACTGGGGCAGAGAAATGGGAAGATGAGCCTGGAACTTGTGCTTGAAGTGCTCAAAGAACATCGGGGAGTCACAAGGTCACAGCTCTGAAGGGGCCCCCACTGGCCAAATCTGGGGTAACATGAGTACCAAAAGAATGATAGTATATATAATGATCATTTAATAAGACAGAAATCTGAGTCCATATTAAGGAACAGAAAAAAGAAAGCTTTCATAGTAGCAACTTGGAATAAAATCTGGCATGCCTGAGGTTGCTGGGGGAGAGAGGATGTCTGTTTTCCTTCGTCTTCCTTTGGCTGCCCACACGCACTTCAATCCCTTCTGCATAGACTCTGTCCCCTCCCCTGACCTAAGCCAGAGACACTGATGTGCAGCAGGTTTCTTTAGTCAATTATGACCTTCCCACCAACAGGGAAAACTATATCCACATAATTGGTTGTGGGGGATGATTCGGCCATAAGGGTGTGGCTATTAACATGGTGACAGAAGCCAAGAGGATTCTGAGACATCAAGACCTTCTACAACACCTCCATTGAGGAGACACCCCCCGATGTTGCTAACCTCATCTGCAGGGCTGTTCTGCTACCTAGCCCTACCCCGGGTTCAGTCTGGGGGCGGGCTGAAGAGGAGCAGGGGCGGGGAGGGAAGGGAGCCAAGGGATGGACATCTTGTCATTTTGTTTTCCTTTGAATAAATGTCACTTTTTGAGGCAAAAAAAAAAAATGAAAAAATGAAAAAAAAAAAAGCTTTCCTTAAAAAATGCCAACCAATAAATGTAGAAAGAATGGCAGGATTAGGAGACATTCACAGGCTACCATCATAGTAGCAATTCAGCCAAGAAACTGCAACACAGATTCCAAACTAGTTTGATGAGGAATGGGTTATTTACCCGATTTCAAAGCACAACCCCACAAGATGCTTATTAGTAACTTTTCAGTGGAGAAACCCAGCAGATACCACCTCCATTAAGTCGTCAAGGTTAACATCACCACTAACAGGGTGATTCAAAATCATGTTATCCCGATAGGATGCGATGGGAAGAGCACAGCATTACTTGATATTCCTGCCAGAAATGTATAACCTGGAATCCAACAGTAAGCATCAACAAATCCAAATTGAGGGACAGTCTGCAAAACAGCCGTAATCTTCAAATGTCAAGGTCATTAAAACAAACCTGGATTGTTCCAGACTACAGGAGATGGAGACAGGACTACTAAGTGCAACTTTTTTCTGCTGATAGAAGATATTATTGGGGTCACTGGGAAAATTTAGTTATCTGTGGATGGTAGTATTTTCAGGTTAATTTTTAGTTCTGATGGATTTGGTGATATAGAACAGCTTCAGTTATAGGAATTATGCATTTGCAGGAGTGTTGGGACATCACCTTGCAACCTATTCTTAAAAAGTATTCAGAAAAAAATGGACTATTCTTGCAATATTCTTGGTAATTGGTACTTTCCTTTAAATTTGAAATTATTAGGGGCACCTGGGCAGCTCAGTCAATTAAGCATCTGACTCTTGATTTCGACTCCAGTCATGATCTCAGGGTTGTAAGATCCAGCCCCACATGGGGCTCTGAGCTCAGCAGGGAGTCTGCTTGAGATTCTCTCTCCCTGCCCCTCCCCTAGCCCCCTCACCCCTGTTCTCTCTCAATTCTTAAAGTTCTCTCAATTTCTTTTGTGTCAAACATTTAAGGGTACAATAAAAAAAGAAAATGAAACAATTTTGCTAAAAAGTCAAGATCCTTTTAATTTTTTAGAAAGAGGTTACTTAGAGGGAAAACAGTGCTTAAAATTGCACAGAACTGAGGTTAAGTGGAGACCATGACCAAATAAATACACAACAAGGACTCGTTTTGATGCTCCTTAAAGCAGTGTTTTTGAATCAGGTAAACATTCAAAGAAAGGTGATTCTTCTTGATGTGCTTCTTGCTGAACAAAATTTGTATTCACCTTTGTATGTATCAACTGCCTAGCCTAGGTATTTGAACTCTGAAATAATTTAATGCAACTCAAATGACACTTTAATATATAATACTTTCTTGATTTCTTCAATTCATATATAATAAATTCTTGATGTCTTTAAATTCATGATTCCCATGACCATTTCAGTTATGATAAATTACAAAGTGGCAAGAAAGATTCTTTGAGATCTCAAAGAAAGAAAGAAACCAGAGGATGGGGTGCCTAGGTGGTTCAGTTGGTTAAGCGTCCAACTCTTGAACTCAGTTGAGGTCTTAATCTCAGGGTCATTGAGTTCAAGCCCGGCACTGGGCTCCATGCTGGGCATGGAGCCTACTTAAAAAAAAAAACAAAAAACAAAACAAACTTGAGGAAAGTATATATTAAAGGCCTTCACAAATATGAAGGACAATTATTAAAATCTTGATAAAAAGCAATCTGTCCTAGGTTCAAGGTACAAGTCTGAATCCTTGAACTTTCCAAGATCAAGACACCATTTGCATATGTTCTTTTTTAAAAAACTCCAATGAACTCCTATCCCATCAGGAGCAGGTGCCTCTCAGCCAGCACCAGACAGAGGAGGCTTGCGATATTTGCATTGAATCCAAACCCGGTACATTGTCAGCTGTTTCCCCCGGTTCACTTGCAATCGGCGATCCACCAGGTTTTGAACCTTTTCGAGTCCAGCAGTAGTGAAAAGCGTATCCATCTCCTCTGGTTTGGAAAAGAGACGTTTATATATTTTCCGCTGAGGAAAAAACATTATCTACCACTTCCTATGTTTAGTGGGGCTCCGTGAGACTGTTTTTATTTATATATTTTAAATGGCTTGAGCCGCGCTGTTTATTTATAAGTGCAGTAGCAGTTTGGTAACAGCAAGTTCACATTTAAATGGGGGAAGCCGAACTGTCTGGGAAGGGCAGGATGGTATCCCGAGGGAGACCCAAAGAGTTGGCTGACGGGGAGGAATTTTCAAGAAGGGCTTTACGGACACCTTAAGATTACATGCAAAAATCTACATAAATGTAATGTCAAAGCCACTTTTTTAGGGGAGAGATTCCTCCATTTTCACCAGAGGCTCAAAAAAGTATGTGACAGAATAAAGGGTCCGGGAATGGCAGTGGGCACATGGGCAGGGCCGGCCGCAGAGGAGAGCCATTCTGGGTTACAGCTGGAGCCAGGGAGCACGGGCCTGGCTCCGGGGCCCCTAGGGGGTGACCCAGCCTGCAGGGTGACGCCAGTTGCACTGAAGTCCCGCAAAATGGGGCAGGTCTCCTGTTTTGGACAAAGGGATTGGGAGGAAGAGCAGACCGCAGGAGGGCCATGCAGAGGGCTGAAGGCTGTTAAGCGGAGCCTGTTTGCAGAACAGCGAACGGGTTCCGGGCAGCCGAGCGCAGGGTGGCGAAGGCTGCCATGGGTGGGAGGGCCCAACAGTCTTACTTCTGAGAGTACACGGAGCAATGTCTGAGCTGGTGTTTGGGGGACTACTGGCGTACGCAAAGATGAACGTTTTCATACCTTGTGTGAAGAAGTAAACTCTAGTACCGTCACCTCTCACGTAGAAATTTTCAGACAGACACTGACCTGTGGAGCGATGTGATAAAATCAGAGAAACTTTAAAGCACTTCTTTGAATTTCACTGCCAATCAAATGTGCATCGTGATACCGATTTCTTGGGCAGAGAACAGAAGCCTTTCTTGGTTACTCTGGGCACCTTGCAGGAATCGGCAGTTTCGCTGCTATGAAGGAACAGTGCTTTGGAATGAGCAGTGCCGGGGGCGCCATCAACCACAGTGTTCAATCACACGGGCGATCCTCAGCCCTCTGTTCTAGAGCTGTTTCCTGTTGCAAACAGTGTTTCCCTCCTCCCTCATTCAATAAATACCACATACTCTTTGTAAAACAAAAATAAATAAACAAAAGCCAGGGACCATAGCTACGTTGAAGGGAGGGAAACCTGAGCCACTGGGACCATTTCCCACGTCTCGCCACGTGTCCACACACACTCATAAATACAACCCGCGTGCTGTTTTTATCATGCATGCTCTCCCCTCAGCTGCCAAGCCCTCTGACCTAATGTCAATTTATCAACCTGGTAGGTGATCCTGCACCTTTGGAATGTCAATATAATCTTACTTGCTTTACTTTGCTTATTTCTCCCCAGCCACTCCTGTATGTGCGATCAAGTTTAAAACAGTCACCTGCACACTTGCTTTTCTCATCTGGGAACGCAGAACGGAAACCCCGCCAGGACCGCCGGTCTGGGGCCCACCTCATGCGGCAGGCACAATGCTCCCCTCCCCAGAGGCATTCACTTTGTTTCGAAGCTTTTGCCTACACACACATTACATGCTAGTTCTTGAGTAGTTCCCCAAAGGACTGTTAGACTGAGTAGATAACACCACTGTGCTTAAAAAAAAAAAAACAAAACCCAAAAACCCAAACACCATTAACAAGTTGTTATTTCTACCAGTAATGGAGAAGTGGATCTCCTTCTTTGAAATGGCCAGCGGTAGGTTTAAGAAGTAGTTCTCTCACTATAGTTTTGTTACCTTGAAGTTTGTTTTTGGCCATTTGGATTTGCCCTTCTGTGAATCAACTCTAAAATTTTCCTTCCCTGTTTTTTGGGTGGGTTGCTGATCTCCTTATCAATTTGCCAACAGGCCCTTGAAAAGCAGAGATAATAATTGAGTCTTTATCTGTTCTAGGCACTGAAATTATTTGTCTTTCAATTTTTTAATGGCATCTTTTGCCATGCCACATTTAAAATTCCTTATGTAATCAAATCTTTTCCCCAAGGTAGCTATTCTAAAAGTAGCTGTCTTGGTTAAAAGATCTCCCAAATACCTAGATTATACAAATCTTCAAAAACATACCGTTCTTGTCATGTGTTAAGTAACTTTATATATAGAGCTATAATTCTAGAGTTTCTATTTGATTTCACTGACTTCTAGGTCTATTCTGATGGCAAAACTGTTGCTTTGGTAATAGTAGCAAAATACCTTTTTTAAACCGAAGCTGAGCCATGTCGTAGCGGCCATAATCTCGCAGAAGCATCATCCCTCCGGGCTTTAGAAGCCTGCTCAGCCTGTTGATAGCTTTCTGCATCCTGCGGGGCAACACAGAATGAAGATCAGGTCTCCTTAAGGACAGGATTCCTTTTCCTTATAGCATGCCCGGAAAAGCCAGTGGACTTCCTAACCTTGACACACGAACCCTGACATCTCAGCTCCTCTGCTCTTGCTTCAGTGAGAATGGGAGCACACACCCAAGCTTCTCAGGTGCTTCTGCTGTCTGCTCATGACCGTGTCTTTGACCCACTCCCTTCACCAGGAAGAGGCCTGAGGATAATCCGCTTCCGCCCGAGGGCTCCACTTAAATACTCTGCGTCTGGCTTACTTCCTACTCCTCCTGGGACGGCCTCTTGGGGAAGCCACCCCTGTCCTGTGCCCCTGGGGCTCTCGGAGCACAGCCCTGAAAACCTGCAGTGAGGACTACTAGTTAGCTGACTCATCCGCCTGCCCCTAGACCTGAGAGCTCTGAAGGCAGAGACTGTACCTTTCCATTTGTTAAATGAAGATGAAACCTCAAGCACTTAACAGTTTACATGGTGAGTCAGAATGCAAATGAGTGCCCCAGGCAGAGCGCTTTACCTTCTGACTGCACTTCCCACACGCAGGCTTAGTGCTGGTTTCGCCTATGCTAACCTTGGAAGTATCAATGGTACAAAGTCTACTTGAATACTGAATAAATAGTTTTTAATTTTAGTGTTTTATTTCAGTCCACGTCAGTTTTTAAGTTTGTAGCATTTAAACTTCCACTGATATTTTATCTATTAATCAAACTCTACCCCCAATGTGGTGCTTGAACTCACGACCCTGAGATCAAGAGTCACATGGTCTACTGACTGAGCCAACCAGGTGCCCCGAGACTTCTGGAGTTACGAATGTTTATTTTTTTATTTGTTTAAAAGATTTTATTTATTTATTTGACAGAGGGAGACACAGCCAGAGAAGGAACACAGAGGGAGTGGGAGAAGCAGACTCCCGCTGAGCAGGGAGCCCGATGTGGGGCTTGATCCCAGGACCCTGGGACCATGACCTGAGCCGAAGGCAGATGCTTAACGACTGAGCCACCCAGGTTCCCCTGCAGTTATGAATGTTTAAACCATGCCTGGCTTTTGGGGCTGTCTTGCACCTGCCTTTCTGCACGCTCACAATATCCCTCCCTGTCAGGTCAGATGACTCAGTGCTCTTCTCAAGGAAACATGGGACGGAGACAGTCGCTCGCTCCTCTGGGTCTCTGGAGGATGCTGCTTCCTGAGGACAGTACCTCATCCGGACAGCTGGCTGCCCACGTCTAAGAACCTTACCAGTATCTCGCAAGGTTCGGCACCTAAACTGGATTTTATGGAATTTTATGTATTTTATGGAATTCCCCTGTACTGCAGTTTTCCAAAGAACTTAAACATAAAGGAACACCCGAGTTAAGCTTCACTATAAATTCTGTGTTGTTAGTAAGGCTGGTTTACCAAAAGCATTTAAAAAGCCCAATGAGGGGTGCCTGGCTGGCTCAGCTGGTAGAGTGTGTGGCTCTTGATCTCAGGGTTGTGGGTTTGAGCCCTACGTTGGGCGTACAGATTACTTAAAAATAACATCTTAGAGGTTTATTTATTTTTTTAAAGATTTTATTTATTTGAGGAAGAGTGTGAGCAAGAGACAGCACAAGCAGGATTGGGGCGGCGGAGGGGGAAGGCAGAGGGAGAAGCAGACTCCCCGCTGAGCAGGAAGCCTGATGTGGGGCTCGATCCCAGGACCCCGGGATCATGACCTGAGCCAAAGGCAGTTGCTTAACCGACTGAGCCACCCAGGTGTCCCTTAAAAATGACATCTTAAAGTAAACTAAAAAGCCCTATGAGGGGGCTGGGGCTCTAAACAGAGGGGGGCTCTAAAACAGCGGGCTGCGATTATCAGCAGGGGTCCCCCCACACCCAGTAACACTGCTCTCCCATCCCCTGTGGATGTTCAACCATGGCACCGAAAAGAAGAACCAACCGCTGGGGCACCTGAGTGGCTCAGTCGTTAAGCGTCTGCCTTCGGCTCAGGTCATGATCCCAGGGTCCTGGGATCGAGCCCTGCATCGGGCTCCCTGCTCAGCGGGAAGCCTGCTTCTCCCTCTCCCACTCCCCCTGCTGTGTTCCCGCTCCTGCTGTGTCTCTCTCTGTCAAATAATAATAAAATCTTTAAAAAAAAAAAAGAAGAACCAACCGCTGTAGCCAACAGGCAGAGGTTTAGAGACAAACAGGTTTATTAGGAAAAGGGTTGAGACACTTGTATCACTTTGAAAGAATGGCTTTTCCCGGCCTATCAGATAATCCTGCTTACTTAGGGTCCAACCCTGGTATCAAGGTTCCTGACCCAAGCTTTGTTCTGTGACACTACTGGCTAGGGGACCTAAAACTTACTTGTCTGGAACAACGGCCGAAAGAACAAATATGAGGATGATGATGTCGAGGCTCTCCCCGGGCACTGGGTAACTCGTATCTTCATCACACAGATCATGGACAAAGGCAAAGCACCGACAAGGATCGTATGCTGAATTTGTCTGCCGACAGTTGAGAGACACATAGGTTAGAAAATGTTCACACAGCCTGGAGGAAAGCTAATCTTGCTTGAAATGTAACCGCTGCTCCTGCTGCTGAGGGCTATCGCTCTAATCAGGACGCACGCCTTCTTACTCAAAGCCTGAGAACGTCCAACAATTCCAGGGACGAGCCTGTGGAATCCAATTGGTATTTTTACTTATTTATTTTTTAACCTTTTTTTTTTTTAAAGATTTTATTCATTTATTTGAGAGAGAGAGAGAGCGCACGCGCGCACGAGAGAGAGCATGAGCAGGGAAGGGGGCAGAGGGAGAAGGAGAAGCAGGCTCCCTGCTCCCCGCTGAGCAGGGAGCCTGCCGTGGAGCTCAAGCCCGGGACCCTGCGACTGTGACCTGAGCTGAAGGCAGACGCTTAACCCACTGAGCCACCCAGGCGCCCCGCCAACTGGTACTTTTAAAACGGAATGTTTTTTTTTTTTTTTAAGATTTTATTTATTTATTTGAGAGAGAGAGAATGAGAGATAGAAAGCACGAGAGGGAAGAGGGTCAGAGGGAGAAGCAGACTCCCTGCTGAGCAGGGAGCCCGATGCGGGACTCGATCCCGGGACTCCCGGATCGTGACCTGAGCCGAAGGCAGTCGCTTAACCAACTGAGCCACCCAGGCGCCCTAAAACGGAATGTTTTGAAGGTGCCTGGCTGGCTCAGTCAGTAGAGCCCGTGACTCTTGATCTCAGAGTCATGAGTTCAAGCCCCATGTTGAGGGTAGAACTTACTTAAATTAAAAAAAAAAAAATTAAAAAGTTTTTCTTAAAAGTAAAATGAATGTGAGGGGGGCGCCTGGATGGCTCAGTTAGTGAAACATCTGACTCTTGATTTCAGCTCAGGTCATTATCTCAGGATTGTGAGATCAAGCCCCGTGTTGGGCTCCATGCTGGGCAGGGTGCCTGCTTAGGATTCTCTCTTCCTCTGCCCCCCGTGCCCCCCCCAGCCCCCTCTCACACTCACACTCGCCCTCTCTTAAAAAAAAAAAAGGAATGTTCTTGATTCTTCTACTTTTATTCTTCACTCTGATGCATAAAGTTAGATTTGAGGCCTGGAAAGTGATCAGGAAGGTAAACGACCACAAGGAAAAAGAAAAATCTCATCAGGAGAGAGAAAACATACTGACATTTAAAATCATGATTTAAAACAACTCCCAAACCAAGTATAGCATATTACACCAATCACAGAATTCTCCAGGAAAACATATTAGATGTGGAAAATTTAACTTTATATTTTATTATCATAAAATTAACCAAAGAAAAGAATAAATTAACTAAAGATAAGCTCAATATTCACCTGGTCTACATCCATAAAAGTAACTCACTCCAGAAAGACACAAACCACCAATTCCAGATCTCCTGTGCTAGCAGCAGTAGACATGACCATAACTGACACATTTTAGGGTAATTTCTCTTTCTGTATCTCTCTTCTCCAAAAATGTGACTTTGTTCCTCATTGGCCACAGCTAATTCAAACAGGGCAAGTAGATTATCAGCTGGGCCGGGTCAACCAGACTCTTTCTGGGGACTCTGGAATCAGGACAAGTCATTCTGGTGAGGTTCTGAGAACACCTGAACAGGGTGGACACGTAAGGGGGCAAGCACGTTGGCATCATGTGACAAACCCATTACAGAAAGATGGTCTGTAAAGAGGAAAACAAAGGGCAAACGGCTCTGGGCTATGCGAGATAGGAAACCATGAGCTTGAGGGAGGTACTGTGACAGGAAGAGGAAGGAGTGGAAGCAGCTTACCAGGAGCCAATAGGCCTTGGCATCTGTCACCTTTTCGGGGCTGAGTGCCTTGGCTACACTTTATGCCTTTGGGTTCTATGACCTTCTTTCACTGAATGAGTTTGTCTGGGTGTGTCTGTGACTTGTAACTCAAAGAACCCTGACTAGAAACAATCTTCTCATTTTAATCCTTAAAACCTATGTTTGGAGACGTCAGGAGACTGGCCCAAAGTTCCACAACTGGCCAGTGACAGGTTCCCCATTCATGCTTGGTTCTTTCCTCTACTCGGGCTGTTCCAGCAAGTCTTTTACTTTCAGACCACATACGAGTAACAGGAATTTGCTAGATGGGGCGCCTGGGTGGCTCAGTTGGTTAAGCGACTGCCTTCGGCTCAGGTCATGATCCTGGAGTCCCGGGATCGAGTCCCACATCGGGCTCCCTGCTCAGCAGGAAGTCTGCTTCTCCCTCTGACCCTCTTCCCTCTTGTGCTCTCTGTCTCTCATTCTCTCCCTCTCAAATAAATAAATAAAAAATCTTTAAAAAAAACCAAAAAAACAAAAAAACAGGAATTTGCTAGAGACCTTGATTTTTAGGAGACCCTTTCCCCTTTAATCAGTGAAAATTACAGATAGGACCCAATGCACTTACCTGGACCAGTTCTACAGCTGTGGTGGAAAAATCACAACAGTAAACAAAGAGTCCCGGATCACTGAAATGGGCAGAAAAAAGAGTCGAACAATTAAGACTGTAAACTGAATTATATCTGTTCTCCTTTGTGTGGCAGACTTAAAATATCAAAGGTCCCATATATTGGCAGTGGAACAGGTTTTGAAGCTCACCAATTTTCCTGATGACAAAGATAACAAAGAAATCGACATCTTGTCACCCACAGTTCCCAATAACCATTATTACCGGTCTGCTGAAGTTTTGAGAAACAACACACCCCTTTCTCCTCTTTGCTATCCTATAGTTAAACTTTACAACACACTTACTTGTTAGTTTGTAAAATCGGAAAGACTGTGTTTCCCACACCACAACCAACCTGCGGACAAAAACGAACTTTTAGTTACAGGACTTTCAAGGAATTAATTCCCTAGGGCTAGATAAATAATCAACAATAATCTTGCTTAATTGTATTAGTAGGGAAGGTGCAGTGACCAGAGCTAAATAGTAGCCACGACATTCCCCAACCTTGACCTCAGGAAGTCTAAAAGAGGTAGCCGTAACAGACAAGAGCATGGGCTCTCGACAGCAGAAGGGAGCTGGTGTGGAAAAAAGGGCATGGATTGCTTTTACTTTTTGAGTTTTAGCAAATGGTCCTATAGATGATATATTTTTTTTCTCATTAATACAGTACTTGCCAACCACTTTCCCTAGGCTGCCTGAGGAGGTATAGGAAAGGGAACATACAGGGTAGAAGAGACATGGGAGAAAGGCCTATAGGAGGTGGAGACAGTTCCTGCCCATGACGAAGAGGATGAGAAAGGCCACCATCAGCCAAAAGAGCCCCATGGCCTCTGAGAGAGCAAAGCCCAGAATGGCATAGAAGAGTTGTTGCTTCAGAGAGGGGGGATTCCTGGCATGACCAGTGATGAGGCTCCCAAACACAGTCCCAATTCCAGTCCCAAAGCCAGCCACCCCGACCGCGGCAGCCCCAACCCCAATGAACTTGGCTGTGTCAATGTCCCTTGAAATGGGACTGGTTCAGAAGCTGTAGCTAGTAATAAGTGAGGTGAGGGGATGTGGGGCTGCCAAGCTGCTGAGGCTCCCATCTGTCATGTCTCCGGTGGTTTTAGCACCGCTGCGGTGATTGGTTCAACAGCTGAGAGGTGCTCCTGACCAAGAAGGGGGTGGAGACGAACTCTGCACAGGTGTACATTTATTTTCAGGGTATGAGGGGCTGTAGCAGGAGAGCTGCTCCCGTGCAAAGAAGACAGAGAGGGCAGATGAAATGTTCTCTTACTGAACTGCACTGTATCATTATTGGAAACCTGTTTCTCAGATTAAGCAGAAAAATTCATGGAAAGGGGACCATGGATTACACTGTCCTAAACATGCTGCTGGGTGTGCTAATAACAGTGACCCTTTGGGGCTGGGTGTCTGACTCTTGGTTTCGGCTCAGGTCATGATCTCAGGGTCAAGGGATCAAGCTCTGCGTCAGGCTCTGTGCTCAGTGCAGAGTTTGCTAGAGATTACCTCCCTTTCCCTATCCCTCTGCTCCTCCCCCTGCTCTCACACACGTGCTCCCCCTAAAATAGATAAATGAAATCTTTAAAAACAAAATAAAAAAAAAATCCCCAAACCCAAAAAAGACAGTGACCATTTACTAAGGGCTTACTACATGCCAGGCACTGTTTTTAGCCATTTTACATCATTATCTCAATATATGTCATTCTCATAACTACTATGAGGCAGACAGAGAGGCAGAAGTCCCCTTCTGCTTGGGGAGGGGAAAGGACTAGTAACAAGGTCAGGCTGGAGTACTCAACCGCAAGGCTAATTAGCTTCCAGTGGAGCGTAGTCACCGCCTCTAAATCTGCAGTACGGTACCCACCTAGGCACGTTTCCAGGGGTAGTCTTGCCCCCACAACACCGCCCCAACTAGGAAGACAAGAACTCTCCTATGCCTGAGAAGCAGGCCCCATCGCGACTAACCCCCCCTCCCCCATCTTATGTTACAAGAGAAGTCAAAGAATTTGTCTTGTGACTTGGGACTCTTCCAGGCAGCAGGTACAGCAGATGCTACAATGTGCAGATGCGATAGGATGTCCCCAGGTAGCACCCTCAGGTGATCTTTCTTTGCCACAACCACCAAATTATCTGGTCTGAATTTAGGACATGTCATTAGTTCAAAAATGGAGGTGTTTCTGGGGCGCCTGGGTGGCTCAGTTGGTTAGGCGACTGCCTTCGGCTCAGGTCATGATCCTGGAGTCCCGGGATCGAGTCCCGCATCGGGCTCCCTGCTTGGCGGGGAGTCTGCTTCTCCCTCTGACCCTCTTCCCTCTCGTGCTTTCTATCTCTCATTCTCTCTCTCTCTGAAATAAATAAATAAAATTAAAAAAAAAAAAAGAACCCTTTAAAAAAAAAATGGAGGTGTTTCTAGGCCAACATAAGAGTCAAGTCTAGTCAGCTTCTTCAGACAGAATCACTTCTGCGGTCAGCCTCTCGGTGCCACCCATGTGTACAATAAAACAGCCCCGTTAACCCCACTCTCAGGACAACAGAGGGGGGTTACCTCGAGTATTCTGTAGGTGGCTGAGGATCCAGGGAACTCATCAGCACAGATTTCCAGGCGGTTGAGTTTCCGAGTTACATCTCCTTCTACAGGAGGCACCTGTGTTTTACGTCCAAGGCTATCTGAAGAACACGTGTGCTGTTCTTCTATCTTTAAACCAGGTCCGTCCTCCTTGCTCCTACCTTCAGGTACTTCACTCCTCTTGTTCTCTGAGAGCCAATCATTAAAGTCATTTTGGTCCGGGCTAGGTGCCAACTCTGGGAATTCAGTGAAAAGCCAATGTCTATCCTTGAAAAACCTGTTTTCGTGGATTTTGTAGAACTCATTCCAGTATTTGTGGGCATTGACTTCATAATCAACTGTAAATATTAAAGAATTAAAAAAACTCTCAATCTCTCAATATTTTATGTGTCCCTAATGTCAAATGTCATCCTGCTTCACCAAATGTCACTTTATACTAAAAGTATCCTCAAGTAGAGCTATAATCTCAGAGCTGGAAATCTGGCAGTCCTACCACCTACCCTACCTGAACTCCCCTCTGTGTCTTGTCCTTCTAGGGAGGAACTCCGACCAGGGAACTTACTGGTTCCACCCACATCTTCAGGTGGCTCTTAGCTACTAGAAAATTCTAACGTTAAGGAAAAAAAAATTCTAACATTAAGCAAAAAAATCTGTCTTCTGGTCAAAAAGTCCTACTATTTCTTAGGGCCATACAGAACAATTCTTTTGTATTTAAGGGCAGTTATTTTCCCCTCTAAATCTTCTCTTTTACAGGTGAAATGTCCCAGGTTCTTCAGTCATTCCCTATGTGAACTCTATGGTTAATGACACATGCAGCTCTTCCTTAAATATACTCCTCTGTCTGTGGTTCTTTATTGAATGTGGAGCAAAGAAAGAATTCAATACTACTAAAAGATCCTAAAAACGGGACAAAGGGGGAAAGGAGAAACGCTGACAAGAGGGAAAAATGTCTTCAGATGAGAAGAGTTTCGATGAGAGAGGACAGGGGAGACTTAAGAAGGGTAGACTGTTTCCACTACAGTTTAAGGTGATCAAGGCAGTGGGCAGTACTAGACTACAGTTTTCTGCTCTTTGCCGATACAGGACCTCGACTACTGTAGTAGAAAAGAAAAGAAAAATCTAAGAAATTGGATTTTAGTTCCACCATTCCTACTAACTAACTGCTTACCTCTGGGTAAGGCACTTAATGTCCTGTGGTCCAAGTTTCTTTAACTGTAAAAAGAGGATATTGGACTATATGATTTTCAAAATCCCTTTCAACTCTAACTTGCTTTGATCTAGTCTCTGTCAAACTATGTAAGGTGAATACTTTGTAACTGGAATCTTCTTATTGTTATAGTGAACTGTGGGATACTACGCTCCCAATTTCTAGTCCTACTTTCAATTGTCATCTAGCACACAGGCTCAGCTAGTCCTAGTATTAGTATCTAGAGATATTCTGCAGTAAAATCATCCACCTCTCCAGAAGAGGTCTCTTTTTCTTTGGCCAGACTTACCTACACTCCTCTTCACCCTCCTTTCCTTGGCAGAAGCCCTAAAATCCCCATAGCCAAGGAAAGACACAAAATTCACCAGTCATTAGCTACCCCCCCAACAATATTTAGAATCTGATCGTTAGAATCTAGCTTCAGTGACATTTCCTCAGCTAGGGTAATCATATAGACGAGGCACAACATCCAAGTCGATCATGTGACCAAACGGTTACCATAGGCCAGTCGTATGATGGCTCTAGTCGACGTACTAAAAATTAATCGCTAGGAAATATATCAAGATACTGTTATTCCCTCTCAAATAAAGCCAAAACCCAAACTCCCTCTTCGCCCTAACAAGATTTTAGGGTGAAGCCCTTTTCCATCCTAACCCAGCCCCACCCCTCCCGTTCTACCCCCGAATTCGGGATCAGTCCAGTAACAAAGGCTCTTGGCGGTCTAGGTTCTCCGGCCTCTCCGGGAGAGTGCGTCCAGTAGTACGCTGGCTGCTGACACCACTGAGGGCCCACCTAGGCGCACCTTGCTTCTCCTGGCACACCCGCTGGGTACTGTTCTCTCGGACTTTCCTCTCCGCTGCGGCGGCCTGCTCTTCCGACCACTCCACATTGTCCCTGGGAAAATCAAACGGGCAGCTTAGGGGCCTCACGTTCGGCAGGCTCCGTCGCTGGCCACGCAGAGCCTCTCCCGTGGAAGGAGAGCGCCTCGAGCAGGGCAGCGCGACTCGTGGTCGGCTGTCAGGGGCTTCTCAGAGCGCACGGGGCTGCGGGACAGAGGACAAGCCGCAGGCGGGACGAGGGGTAGGGCAGTTACCAGGCATTATGGTGGAAGACGCGCGCCGGATCGTTCAGGAACCTGCTTCCAAACTGCTGCCTCTTCTCGCCGACCGCAGCCGGAGCGCACTCAGGATAGGGGCCGGCCATGACACCGGAGCCGGATATGCCTACCTTTCCGACACGCGAAAACTTCCTGTGGGGCCACTCCCCCTCCGGAAGTCGCGGGGTCCGGGCGGGAAAAGAGCAAGGAGGGGCGGGGCAGTTCTGAAGCCCCAGTCTGGGCTGGAGCTGGAGCTCCGCCCCATAGGGGCGGTCCCTAAGTTGGGGAAGTGCTCTCCGTGTAAGGAGCGCTCGCCCACAGAGTTTCTCTGAGCTGGCTTTTCCTCTGTCGGCAAAAGGCGCCGGTGGCCGTGTAGGCCCGCAGGAAAGTGGGAGACAGGGATCCCTGGGTGGCTCAGTGAGTTAAGCGTCTGCCTTCGGCTCAGGTCATGATCCCAGGGTCTTGGGATCGAGTCCCACGTGGAGCTCCCCGCTCGAGTCCCTCATGGAGCCTGCTTCTGCCTGCTGCTCTCCCTCCTGCTTGTGCTCATGCTCTCCTTCTCACAAATAAATAAATAAAATCTTAAAAAAGGGGCTCCTGGGTAGCTCAGATGGTTAAGCGTCTGCCTTCTACTCAGGTCATGATCCCGGGGGTCCTAGCATCGGGCTCCTGGCTCAGCAGGGAGCCCGCTTCTGCCTCTCTCCCTGCTCATGCTCTCTCTCTATCTCTGTCAAATGAATAAATATATATATTTTTTAATCTTAAAAAAAAGTGGGAGACATTACGCTTGAGCCTCCTTTCTATACTGGGGTCGTCTAACAGGTTTCCCAGTTTCCCTCAAGTTTTTTTTTTTTTTTTAAGATTTTATTTATTTTTTTTGACAGAGACACAGCGAGAGAGGGAACACAAGCAGGGGGAGTGGGAGAGGGAGAAGCAGGCTTCCCGCTTAGCGGGGAGCCCGGTGCGGGACTCGATCCCAGGACCCTGGGACCATGACCTGAGCCAAAGGCAGACGCTTAACGACTGAGCCACCCAGGCGCCCTCCCTCAAGTTTTAAGACAGGAAAAATCTTGAATCACTTTGAGAATTAAGGTGCCTAGTTCCCTTTAGACCTGATGGCAGAAGAATTTGAGGAAGATAGCAAGCTGGCTGAGGAAATAAGCAGTTTTCCAGCTTCTGTAGTGGGCTCTTCATAGTGTGAAAAGCTATGAAAAAGAATAAAAGAATACTATTTTTCTGGGTAGGGGGATATGGAATGAATTCTGAGAACATGAGGTTAATTTATATAATTATATAATTTTTATTTTTATTTATTTTTAAGATTTTATTTATTTATTTGAGAGAGAGAATGAGAGATAGCACGAGAGGGAAGAGGGTCAGAGGGAGAAGCAGACTCCGCGCTGAGCAGGGAGCCCGATGCGGGACTTGATCCCGGGACTCCAGGATCATGACCTGAGCCGAAGGCAGACGCTTAACCCACTGAGCCACCCAGGCGCCCTAATTATATAATTTTTAAACTATGTTTTTTTTTTTTTTTTTAAGAATTTGTCAGAGAGAGAGAGCACACAAGAAGGGGGAGCAGCAGAGGGAGAAGCAGGCTCCCCACCGAGCAGGGAGCTCTAGTCCGCTGGATCCCACTGATCCGAAGGCAGATGCTTAACGCACTGAGCCACCCAGGTGCCCCTATAATTACATAATTTATAACCACGTACTTTTTGGAATTATCCATACCTGAGCTTGTTCACACAATCAGGACTGTAATACAACACATAAAGTTTGTTATATTAATACATTTTCAGCCTTACATTTCTGTTTCAATAATTACTATAAACTGATTCTCAAAATAATCTAGAAGGAAGTATCCTGTTGATATAAGGTTTAGTTGAGAAGAGTTCCAGGCGAGTAAGGACTACCATTTGGAAGGAGTTCAGGTAATGGTTAATTAGTTATTTAAGTGGTGCAGTACTAGACAGAGCCCACTGGTAACCAGTAATCATTTACTTCATTGAACATTCTTTCCATAGGCAAAACTGAAGGGAGCTATGAGAGATTCTGTATCTTTCTCAGAAAAGAAATGGAAACAAGCCTTAAACCCTCAATCATAAAGAAAAATACATGAGTGAATCGAAAAAATAAGGTAATAAAGAACTTGTACTTTATTCGAAAACACGTTTGCCATTCTCACGGTCTTTTGAAACATTTTGAACAAAACCTCCTTTCCAAAAAACAAGTACAAGGATTTTTATCTTTTCTCAAGGCCAGTTGTTTGATATAGTGGTTGGTTTATATTTATTCTTGGCATCTTGTTCTCTCTTCCGCATGCTTTTTTCTCCCCACACCAAAAACTATTAATGCTCCTAATCAGCAGTCCTACCGCATATTTCCTTGCATAGAGCTCACTCTCTGTTTTCCCCTGAAGTCACTTATTATGTTAGTTCCAATAATTAGTCATTGAAAATGTCAAACAACTTGGTCCCTTTTGATGAAATGTGATAAAAGTATCCTAAACTTAATTTTTATACAATTATCTTTGGTTGACCTGTACAACTCATTTTTCTTCATCTTTTGAAGCACCTAAAATCATTTTTCTGAAGAAATTTGGAAGACATGGCTGTGAGTCCTTTGTAGTATCAGACTATATATTGGACTGTATCTTCAGCAATACTTTTCAGGGGACCTAAGGGTCCCTCTGCTGGTGAGCTTCAAGAGCTTTTCTAGCTGGGTGGCATGGGTTCAAAGCCTGAAAAAGTTAACAACTCTCAGTCTGGACTACTGCCTTGGGTGTCAACCTGGGACATGGGTAGTTAATTATTTCATGCCTTTCTTTCAGTTCCGATCAGTGGAAATTCTGGTCTGTGTAAGCATGTGCTCTGGAACTGAAAGGTGGGGGAAGGGTGTCCTAATTTGTTTCACGGAACATGCAGCAGCCCTAGAGAATTGAATACGCTGGTTTAACAACTTTAAACAGACTTCGTGGTTTTTTTCTTATTGCAAAATAAATGTGTTTATTGTAGAACATTTAGACAAAAGAAAAAAAGAAACTACCCCATTCCATCCTTAATTTAATCCATTAAACACTTTGGTTTATATGTTTCCAGTCTTTTTTTCTAATTGACTTATAGAAGTAACTTTTACATTAAAATAGTTTCAAAACTGCGTTATGCCCTTTTTTTCACAGCTTGATTGAGGTTTAGTTTACATACAATTAAATTCATCCATCTTAAGTGTATGGTTTGATACATTTTCATAAAAATCTATATTTGTGCAACTACCATCAAAATTAGGTTCTAGAACAACCCCGTAAAGTTTTCTCATGGCTCTGAGCAGTTGTAGCCTGTTTTATAAGTTGATAATGATTGTGAATATCATTATTCTGCTTTAATGTTCTTTTCTAACATTGTTTTAATGACCCTGGTATTGTTTTATAGAGCTGTATCATGATTTGCTGGACACTTAGGCTACTTTAAGTTTCTTACTATTAAAAATCCAACATGATAATCATCTTTATAACTAAATCATTTGTATATTCATGATTACTTCTTTAGAAATAATTTCTAGAAGTGAAAGTACTGAGTCAGTGGTTATAATTAGCTGCATTACTCAGCTGTGAGGTCAGGGCATTTTACTGTTCATTCACTGTTATATATCCAAGTCCTAGAACCCAGGCCAGCACACATTATGCAACTCAATAAATAATTGTTGAATGAATGGCTGAATACCTGTTGCTATACTGTATTTCATCTGCAAGATGCCAGTTTCTACTGTCAACCACAGTGTGGGACAGATTGATAGACTGTATTACTATACATTTTAGATTTTCCAGGACAGATATACTCAAAAATATTCTGTCTTGTTATCCAATTGATCCAAGAAAATATCCCAGGAATTTTATTTTATTTTATTTTATTTTTTTTTTATCCCAGGAATTTTAATATTTTGGCATCCAAATTACATTTCTTAGATTGCCTATTACAGTCATAGCCATACCAAAAAAAAATCTGTCAAACCATAGATCTTGTTTTTTGGGTAGGAAGCGTGGTCATGTCTGTAAGATTTTTTTTTTTTAAGATTTTATTTATTTATTTTTGAAAATATTTTAGTTATTTATTTGACGGGGCGGGGGGGTGGAGAGAGAGAGAGAGAGAGAGAGCACAAGCAGGGGAAGCTGTAGGCAGAGGGAGAAGCAGGCTCCCTGCTGAGCAAGGAGCCCGATGATGCCGCCGATGCTGGCCTCCATCCCAGGACCCTGGGATCATGACCTGAGCCAAAGGCAGACGCTTAACGACTGAGCCACCCAGACATCCCAAGATCTTGTTTATTTGAGAGAGACAGAGCGAGCAAGAGAGAGTGAGCAAGAGAAAACACAAACAGGGGGAAGGGCAGAGGCAGAGGGAGAAGCAGACTCCCTGCTGATCAGGGAGCCTGACATGGGGCTCAATCCCAGAACCCTGGGATCACGACCTGAGCTGAAGGCAGACGCTCAACTGACCGAGGCACCCAGGTACCCCAAGGTTCTCTTTCTCAACATCACAATATTGTAAAGAACGGCAAATATATTTAGACAGTTTTGAATATTCAAGGTTAACACAAATTTACTTCAAGTCCATTTCATTAAATAGTTTTAGGAGTCTTCACTATTGTCATTACTTTTTTCTGGCATGGTGCGATTTTATATTATAAGCCACTGTCTCCATCAATATGGAACATGTCTTTTCCTTTTTCTAACAGGGAAAAAAATGTAATGGATGATAATCCCTAAACAGGGTTAAAATAGTAAATTTTATGCGTATTTTTCCACCATAAAAAAGTACACCTCCCAAACTTGTAATACAGTTATACATGTGCATCTTTATTAAATACACTAAAGAACAACAGCAACAAGTGTAATGGTGAGATCAACTATTTTTAAGAGGGATTCAAGAGATCAGCCTTATGACGTGTGACTAAGGAGCCTTAGGAACACCCAAATTTAATCAAGATTCCCTGGGAGATGGTGATATTATCCCCTGGAACTGAAAGATCATTGTCATCTGCTGCCTCTGGCCTCTTTTACAAATAATCAAAAACCCAATGTCACTTAAACTCATAAACTCAGACGCTTATTGCTGGGAGAGCCCTATAGGGGCTCAGAGAGGCAGCCCT